ACGAAAGGAATCTATATAAAAAATAATTTTTATTAAAATAATTAATATACTTAAAATTACTTTGACAGACACCCATGTAATAAATTTAGAATTTATAAAAGTAAACAATTTACAAGTAATACATTAAACAATTATTCTTTTATTTAATAAGTAATATATTAATACTACTAATAGTTATTATTTTAATTTTAATTAGGGTAGCTTTTTTAACTTTATTTGAACGTAAAACTTTAAGATATATANATTATCGGAAAGGGCCAAACAAAATTAGGTTATGAGGAATTCTTCAACCTATAAGAGATGCAATAAAACTAATACTAAAAGAATTTTTCCACCCTAACAAAACTAATTATAATTTTTATTTTATCTCACCAATATTAATATTAACCCTAATTTTATCATTATGATTAGTATATCCCTTCAAAACAAACTTATTTAACTGAAATTTAAATAGCTTATTTATTCTAGCTCTTATAAGAATAGGAGTATATGGAATAATAATAGCTGGCTGATCTTCAAACTCTTGTTTTTCAATATTAGGAGCCATTCGCTCAATTGCACAATCCATTTCCTATGAAGTAACTTTCACTATTTCTTTTTTATTAAGATTATTTATAATTAACTCTTTAAACTTAAATAATATCCTTTATTTTCATAAATATAACTCAATAATTTATTTTATATGACCAGTCAGAATAATATTTTTATTAAGAATATTAGCTGAACTAAATCGTACTCCTTTTGACCTTTCAGAAGGAGAATCTGAACTAGTATCAGGATTTAATGTTGAATACAGAAGCCACAGATTTGTTTTAATTTTTATTTCAGAATATTCAAGAATTATTTTTATAAGATACCTATTTAACTTAATTTACTTATGTAAAAACTCTATATATATCATATTTTATTTAACTTTAATTTTATTAATTTATTCAATCATCTGAACACGAGTAACATTACCTCGTATTCGTTACGATTTACTAATATTCTATTGTTGAATTTTTATCCTTCCTTTAATTTTAATTATGTTTTTATTATATATATTATTTACAAAATTTTCTTTAGAAATAATAATTCTCTTAAGTATAAAAAGATAATAGAAAATTAATTCTATTTTATATTTTCAAAATATATACTTATTCAAGTTCATTATCTACACTTTAATTAATTTATCTCAATAAATTATTAATAAATTATTTAAAAAATAATATAAAAAATAAAAATAAGTAAAAAATTTTCTTAACTCAACAAAAGGATATTCAACAGATTGACCCCCCAACCAAGTTAATAATATTAAACACCTAAGAAAAAATCAATAATAAATTTGACTTAAAGGATAAAAAGACAAACCTTGAAATTTATTTAAATTAATATAAGGTAGTATTATTAAAATTAAAATTGATATTAATAATGCAATAACCCCCCTTAACTTATTGGAAATCGAACGTAAAATTGTATAAGCAAATAAAAAATATCATTCAGGCTGAATATGAACTGGAGTAACTATAGAATTTGCTATAATAAAATTTTCAGGATCTCCTAATAAATAAGGTAACTCACAAACAACTAATATAAAAATTATTAAAAAATAAATAAACCCCAATAAATCTTTCAAAGAATAATAATTATGAAAAATAATTTTATAATTATTCCTTCTTACTCCCAAAGGATTATTTGACCCAGTCTCATGTAAAAATACTAAATGAATTATAACTATTAAAAGTAAAATAAAAGGTATTAAAAAATGTAATGAATAAAAACGATTCAAAGTTGCATTACCAACAGAAAATCCTCCCCATAATCATTCAACAAACATTAACCCAATATAAGGAAAAGCTGTTAATAAATTTGTAATAACTGTANCCCCTCAAAATGATATTTGTCCCCAAGGTAAAACATACCCCAAAAAAGCAATAGCCATTATTAATATAAAAATAAATACCCCAATTAATCAAGTCTTAAAAAGTTTATAAGATCCATAATATAAACCACGACCAATATGAATATAAACACAAATAAAAAAAAATGAAGCTCCATTAATATGAATTAACCGTATCAATCACCCATAATTTACATCTTGAATAATATGAATAACACTAATAAAAGAAAAATCTAAATGAGCAATATAATGTATTGATAAAAATACCCCAGAAATTAATTGAATTATCAAAAATAAACCTAATAAAGACCCAAAATTTCACCAAACCCTAATATTTACTGGCGAAGGCAAATTAATTAAAGAATTATTAAAAATCTCTAAAATTTTATTTTTTTTTATAATTGACTTATTCATTAATTAAATTTTAAAATTTGTCGTAAAGGAATATTAACTTTTATACAAACTACAACTGAGCAAACTATTGTAAAAAATAAATATATAACAATATATATATTCATATCTAAAGTATAATCTATTATTGTATTTTTATATAAAATTAAAATCTGATTTAAAAAATTATATAAATTATTAATTTCAAAAAAATCTATATATATAAAATTATAAAAATTATTAAAATATAAAATTATTAATAATAATAAAATTATTAAAATAAGCTTTAATAAAAAATAAAAAAAATATTTCTGATTAAAATAAAATATTTGATTATTAATTAATCTAGTAAAATATAAAAATAAAATTATTAAACCCCCAATTATAACCAAAAATATAATATATGAATACCAATATCTATTAATTAAAATCCTTATTTTAAATCTTAATATAATTGTATATAAAATTAATAAAATTACCAAAGATAAGGGATGAAAACTATATATATTCGTTGGAATAATTAAAATTATTATTAAAATTAAATCCACTAATGTCACTAATAAAATAAAAATATTAATATCAAAATTTTTCATTCAAAAAATAGTTTAAATTAAAACATTAATTCTGGAAATTAAAATTATAATATATTGTTGTTTTTTTGAAAGCTAAAATTAATAAAATATCTTTAATTTACAAAATTAATATTTTGGTTTAAACTATTTAGCTAATTTGAATAAATATATATATATATATATTATTAATTTCATCTTTTTTATTTACTTCTTTCTATCAACATTTATTACTGGCTTTAATTAGACTAGAATTTATATTAATTAACCTTTTAATAAGAATATATATAACTTTATTAAACTTAAATATAAATTTTTATATCATTACATTTTTTATCGGAGTAATAATCTGTGAAAGAGTTATAGGATTATCAATTATAGTTTACATAATTCGGAATTCAGGCAATGATTATATTACCCAATTAAGTTTACTAAAATGATAAAACTAATTTTATTTATATTATCATTAACCTTATTCCCTATAATTAATAAATATTTATGAAATTTTTTAATTATTAACTTTATATTTATTTATTCATCTATATTTATAAATAAACTTTATTTTTTAAATTATTATTGATCTAGAATTAATTATATATTTGGATTAGATAATCTAAGATTTTCTTTAATCTTGTTAACCTTATGAATTACACCCCTGTCAATTTATTCTTTTAACATAAATAAAAAATTATTATTCTATAACTTAATAATTTTTATAATAATTACTCTAATTTTATCTTTTATATCTATAAACATAATAATTTTTTATATTTTCTTTGAAACAAGATTAATTCCTATTATTTTCATTATTATAGGATGAGGATTCCAAATTGACCGTATTCAAGCTAGAATATATATATTATTTTACACTTTATTTGGTTCCCTACCATTATTAATAATCATTATATATTTATATTCACACATAAACTCTATTATAATAAATATTTTATGAATAAAAAATCTAAGATCCTTAAATAATTTAATTAGATTTATTATATTAAATTTAGCTTTTATAGTCAAAATACCTATATATATTCTTCATTTATGGCTCCCTAAAGCTCATGTTGAAGCTCCAGTAAGAGGATCAATAATTTTAGCAGGAATTATACTAAAACTAGGAAGTTACGGTATTTATCGCTCTATATTAATTTTACCAAAATTAATAATAAACTTTAACCAATACATTATTATCATAGGATTAATTGGAAGATTAATCTCAAGATTAATCTGCTTAAACCAAAATGATTTAAAAATTATTGTAGCCTATTCCTCCGTCGTTCATATAAGAACACTATTAGCTAGAATATTTACTTTATCAAAATTTAGATTTAAAGGAAGATTAATAATAATAATTGCCCATGGTTTATGTTCATCAGGAATATTCTTTATTGTAAACTTAAATTATGAACGTTTAAAATCCCGTAATACTTTAATTAATAAAAACCTCCTAAATATTTCCCCATCATTAACTTTATGATGATTTTTAATATGTTCTTCAAATTTCTCAGCTCCCCCATCATTAAATTTAATTAGAGAAATTTTTATTCTAAATAGATTAATCCTATGAAATAATTGATTAATTTTTATTATTATTTTAATTTCATTTTTTAGAACTTGCTATTCAATTTTACTTTACGCTTTTTCACAATATGGAAAATTAAATTTTTCATTTTTTAATTATTCAAATATTAATAAAAAAGAATATTTAATTATTATTCTTCATTGATTACCCCTAAATTTAATATTTTTAAATTTAAACTTATTAATTTAAATTTAAAAAATTAATATATTGATCTTATAAATCAAATAAATAATTTATTATTTTAAATTATTTTTTTAATTTTATCAATTTATATATTATTTATAAATTTAATTTCATGAACTTTTTCTATTTTATTCATTTTATTAAAAATAAAATTTATTGTAGAATGAAATATAATAATAATTAATACTATTAAAATTAATTATATTTTATATTTTGACTGAATAACCTTAATATTTTCTAGAACAGTCTTAATAATTACTTCCATAGTTATATTATATAGATTAAATTATATAGAAAAAGATTACTCTATCAAACGATTCATATTTTTAATTATAATTTTTATAGCCTCAATAATTTTAATAATCTTTAGGCCTAACATTTTTAGGATCCTTCTAGGATGAGATGGATTAGGTTTATCTTCATATTGTTTAGTAACATACTATATAAATAAAAAAAGATTTAATTCTAGAATAATTACAATTTTAATAAATCGAATTGGTGATATTATAATTTTAATTTTAATTGGATTAATAATAACATTTGGATCTTGAAATTTTATATTCTTTAAAAAAATAAGAATATTTATATTTATATTTGTATTAATTGCAGCCATCACAAAAAGAGCTCAAATTCCTTTCTCATCATGATTACCCATAGCTATAGCAGCCCCAACCCCTATTTCATCATTAGTACATTCATCAACATTAGTAACAGCAGGAGTTTATTTAATATTACGATTTAGATATTTATTTAATAACCACTTTTTATACTTTGTTTCTATTATATCATCCTTAACTATATTTATAGCTAGATCAAGAGCAACTATAAAATTTGATATAAAAAAAATCATTGCACTTTCAACCTTAAGTCAAATTAGATTAATAATTTTAACAATTACAATAAATTTACCTAAACTAGCATTTTTCCATTTAATTACACACGCAATATTTAAATCATTAATTTTTCTTTGTTCAGGAATTATAATTCATAATTTTTATAATCATCAAGATATTCGATTTATATCTTTTATAAATTTAAACTTACCTTATACTAATTTAATTTTTAATATCGCATCACTAACTTTATGTGGATTACCCTTTCTTTCAGGATTTTATTCAAAAGATCTAATTATTGAATTTTTTTTAATAAAAAATTTTAACTGATTAATATTTATTATAATATTTTTATCTATGGGGTTAACAATTACATACTCATTACGAATAATTTTTTACATCTCAATAAAAAATACAAAAATTTCCTTAATAAATTTACCTAAATCTTTTAATTTAATAAATTACTCAATTATTTTATTATTATTTATATCCATAGTTTATGGTTCAATTTTAAATTGATTAATATTCTCCTCCCTAAATAAAATTTTTCTACCTATAAATTTAAAATTAATTATTTATAAATTTATAATTTTAGGTATTATATCAGGACTCACCTTATCTTATATTAAAATTAATTTTTTTAAAATAATTTTTTTAAAAAAAATTTATTACTTTAACAATATAATATGAATACTACCTAATTTATTAAAAAAAAATAAAAATAATCTAATAAATTTTAATAATAAATTAATTTTTTTCAGAGAAACCTCTTGATTAGAAATAATTTCATCTAAAATTTATATCTATTATTTAAAATTATTTTTTAATAAAAAAATTATTCACAAACTTAATTTTTTCTTAACTATTTTAATAACATTTTATATAATTATAATTATCATAATTTATTTAAATAGCTTAAATTTAAAGTTTAATAATGAAAATATTAAGATGATTTATAAATCTTTAAATAAATTTATAAATATAAAATATTATTTTTATAGTGAAAATATAATGTTTTTTTTAAACTATATAAATAAAATAAAAATGGATTTTAACCATAAATTTAAAAATTAGAAATTTTTGATGTTCATACTTATTTTAATTGGAATAAATATATTCATTTAAATTATTAACAATAACTTACCTCTATTTGGTTTCAATTAAGGATTAATTAAAACCAAAATTTCAAACCGTAATTGAATATAAATATTTATTTCTTAATTTAAAATAAATCCTTAGATATCCTTTAATTGCAATTTAAAAATTTTATATTAAACTATTATTCTAAAAAATTCATTTCAATGATCCTTCTAATTTTTCAAATTCTAACCCTAAATATAAAATTATCAAAATCATAAAACCTAAAAATAACCATTCATATAAATTTAAATATTTATATAAATTAATTATAGGAAATAAAAAAATTACTTCAACATCAAAAATCAAAAACAAAATTCCAATTAAATAAAAATGAATAGAAAAAGGTAATCGAGAAGAATTTAAAGGATCAAACCCACATTCAAAAGAAGAATTTTTATCCCGATCTAACCAATCCTTTTTAGAAATTATTATATTTACTAACATAAAAATAACACAAAATAAAATAATAATAAAAATTATATTAATTAAAATTATTTACATTAAAATTTTTAAACAATTTAATTGGAAATTAAATATACTTTTTATATTATATAAATATTTAAATTAAAAAGATAATCAATAAATAAAAATATATAAAAATAACCAAACTACATCTACAAAATGTCAATATCATGAAGCTGCTTCAAATCCAAAATGATGAAATCTAGAAAAATGATTTTTCACTAAACGTCTTATAGAAATTATAATAAATATAACCCCAATAATCACATGCACCCCATGAAACCCAGTTATTATAAAAAATACTGATCCATAAATCGAATCAGCCATAGAAAAATAAGATTCCTTATACTCTATATACTGAAAACCAATAAATAACAACCCTAAAACAATTGTTAAATTAATAGTAATCTCTCTATATTTAATATCAACCCCCTTATAAATTAAATAATGACATCACGTAATGGTAACCCCGGATCTCAATAAAATTAAAGTATTCAATAAAGGAATATTGTAAGGATTAAAAACTAAAATATCCCGAGGAGGTCACATTCTCCCAATTTCAATTCTAGGAGATAAAAATATATGAAAATATCTCCAAAAAAAAGAAATAAAAAATATTACCTCAGATAAAATAAATAAAATCATTCCTAATTTAATTCCATCCACAACTTTAATTGTATGATTACCTTGAGTCATTCTCTCACGAATAACGTCACGTCATCATTGAAAAACAACAAATATTAATAAAATATTACCAATTATATAAATATTTATATTAAAATTATTAAAAAATTTAATAAAACCTACTATAACAATTAAAAATAAAAAAGAACATAATATTGGTCAAGGCCTTTCAGTAACTAAATGAAAAGGATGAAAAAATTTATTCATTAAATTAATTTGTTTCTTTTAAATATAAAATTACCAAAATTACAAAAACATAAGATTGAATGATTGAAACTGCTAATTCTAATAATAATAATAATAATTGAAATAACAAAACAATTAAATATAAAAAAAAAAAATTTGGAATAAATCTTCTTAACAATGTTAATAACAAATGACCCGCAATTATATTAGCTGTTAATCGAACAGATAATGTTAAAGGTCGAATAATTCTTCTCAACAACTCAATTATAACTATAAAAAATATTAATACAAATGGTGTTCCTTGAGGTACTAAATGTGCTAATATAAAAATAGTATTATTAACTCAACCAAATAATATTAAACCCAACCAAATAGATAAAGAAAAAATTATTGAAAAAATTAAATGTCTGGANCTAGTAAAAATGTAAGGAAACAACCCCATAAAATTATTTGTTATAACAAACATAAATAATACATTAAAATAAATTAAATTATTTAAATTAAAATTAAATTTTATAATAACTTTATACTCAATCCATAAAATTTTTATAAACTTTATAAATATATAATTTAATCGAGAATTTAAAACTCAATAAACTTGAGGAATAATAAATAAAATTATTAAAGATGAAATTCAATTAATTGAAAATTTTAAAATTTGTGGATCAAAAATTGTAAATAAATTTGATATCATTTTAAATATTTATAATAAAATTAAAATCATTTTTTCTTACAATAACTATTTTAAAATTTATATTTATTAAAAAATATATATATATTAAACCTATAAAATAAACTAATAAAAAAAATAATGATAATATAAATCAATCTATTGGAGATATTTGTGGAATATTTTCAATAAAATCACTAAAAATAATTATTAATTTATTATAATTTGAATTAAAAATTCAATTCTTATATTTAAGATATTTAATGAAATTTAAATTAATTTTATTAAATCTTTAATACCACAAATTAATATTTTAATTAAACTACTTAAATAAGAATTTAGTTAAATTATAACATTAAATTGTCAATTTAAAGTTATTAAAATTATTAATATTTCTTAAAAATTTATTTTTAATCAATTAAAAAAAATCTTCAATTTAACCCCTTCTATCACAATTGGTATAAAACTATGATTAAGCCCACAAATTTCAGAACATTGCCCAAAATAAACCCCTAAACGATTCAAATAAATCAAACACTGATTAATCCGACCTGGAATAGCATCCACTTTTAATCCTAAACTAGGAATAGCCCAAGAATGAATTACATCAACTGAAGAAATTATTCCACGAATTATTAAATTATAAGGTAAAATTAATCGATTATCAACATCAAATAAACGAAATACCCCCAACCTTCTTCAATCATTAATTATAAAAGAATCAAATCTTAAATTAAAAAAATCACTATATTCATACCTTCAATATCATTGATGACCAATAATTTTTAAAGTTAAATAAGGATTTAATGATTCCTCAATCATATACAAAATTTTCAATGAAGGAATAATTATAAATACTAAAACAATTAAAGGAACAATTGTTCAGATAATCTCCAATATTTGATTATGTAAAATATTTTTATCAATAAAATTATTTTTAAAAAACCACATAATTAAATATAAAATAAAAAATAAAATTATTAATAAAATTATTAAAGAAAAATCATGAAACTCAATTATTAATATTCTCAAATAAGAATTAAAATCTTGAAAATTTATTATTATTCATATTTTTAATAAAAAAATTACTTTTATATATGAATCTTAAATTCACTGCACTAATCTGCCATATTAAAATTTATTTTTTAAATAATAAAGGTAATTGTTTATAAGAATGATTTATTGGTGGATAATAATGAAACCATTCAATTGATGAATTTATATACTTAACAAAAATAATATTTCGTTCTATAATTAATCTTTCCCACAATAAAAAAATAAAAAAAATAATACTAACCAAAGTAATTATAGACCCAATAGAAGATACTAAATTTCATATTAAATAAATATCAGAATAATCTGAATATCGACGTGGCATACCCCTCAAACCTAAAAAATGCTGTGGAAAAAATGTTAAATTAACCCCCAAAAATATTAAAAAAAATTGAATTTTTAATCAAATCTCATTCAAATATAATCCTAAAAATAAGGGATATCAATAAATAAAACCTGCTATAATAGCAAATACAGCTCCTATTGATAAAACATAATGAAAATGAGCAACAACATAATAAGTATCATGTAAAACAATATCAATAGAAGAATTTGATAAAATAATACCTGTTAACCCTCCTATAGTAAACAAAAATACAAATCCCACAGATCAATACACTCTTAAATTTATTTTTATTTTTACCCCCCCTAATGTTGCTAATCAGCTAAAAATTTTAATCCCTGTAGGAATAGCAATAATTATTGTTGCAGAAGTAAAATAAGCTCGAGTATCAACATCTATCCCAATAGTAAACATATGATGAGCCCAAACAATAAAACCTAAAAACCCGATTGTTAATATAGCATAAATCATTCCTAAAACCCCAAAAGTTTCTTTCTTCCCCCTTTCATTATAAATAATATGAGAAATTATTCCAAATCCAGGTAAAATCAAAATATAAACCTCAGGANGACCAAAAAACCAAAATAAATGTTGAAATAAAATAGGATCACCACCCCCTGAAAAATCAAAAAATGTTGTATTCAAATTTCGATCAGTTAATAATATTGTAATAGCNCCAGCTAAAACCGGTAAAGATAATAATAATAAAATAGCTGTAATTAAAATTGACCAAATAAATAAACTTAATTGCTCAAACTTTATGAAAAGCTTTATATTTAAAATTGTACAAATAAAATTAATTGCCCCCATAATTGATGATACCCCAGCTAAATGTAAACTAAAAATTAATAAATCTACTGCTAACCCCCTATGACCTAATCTAGATGATAAAGGAGGATAAATTGTCCAACCAGTTCCAGCACCTAAATTTAATAATATTCTCAATATTAACAAAATTATAGAAGGTCTCAATAATCAAAATCTTATATTATTTATTCGAGGAAAGGCTATATCAGGAACCCCTAATATTAAAGGAATTAATCAATTCCCAAACCCTCCAATTATAATAGGTATAACTGTAAAAAAAATTATAACAAAAGCATGAGCAGTTACTATTCTATTATAAATCTGATCATTTAACAATCTCCCAGGTATCCCTAATTCTAATCGAATAATTATTCTTATAGATAAACCTAACACCCCAGCTCAAATCCCATACAAAAAATACAAAACACCAATATCTTTATGATTAGTTGAATATATCC